TGTCTTTCTTTCCCCAAGAAGCTGCTCAGTCGTCGGAATCGCTGTTATCGAACCACTATAGCATATATGTAGATGCCATTCAAATTGAACGAACTGAATCAAGTACTTGTATGGAAAATATTTTATTTTTTGACGAGATGTCTTTACAAAATTTCCCAAGAGAAATTTAATTTTTTACATCGGATCATTTTGTATATTTCTGTCATTCAAACTAACGGATCAAAATCAAGTTGCTTTTAGAAATATGTTATATTTGTGAAGAGTAGTTTAGCTACAGTAAAGCTAGTTAAAGTTTTATCTCGTTTTTAGTAACGTTTATAAAGTAGAAAGACAAAAATCACACCCTGTATTTCCAAAAGTGTGTAAGTTTCATTCATCTGGCATTTACGCACACTTGCAATGGGGTGCGGGCATTCATTCGTTTTGTATGCAAATTTATTATGCTTGAGATTAAAAGTTCCTCAAACAAAGTTTACGTTTAAATTTTTCATTAGAAAAAATTTTCATGCTTGCCGAAATGACGCCGCCCACAAACGGACACATGTGCACGTGCTTGATATAACCGAAGAAATTGGCTGAGGGAGTGAAAACGAGCGGCAAGTTTACCAAATGCGAGTGTGTACAAAATGTTTACGAATACAAACACACATAGAAACATATTTGTATTTGTATGTATAAGTATACAAGTGTGTGTGGTTGCAAGCATATCATATTCATATCATGTGTGGCACTACGCGCGCATGCGTATGTGCGTATGTTTATCTTTTCCGGCTTAGCGGTTTCCTTTTACATTTCTTAAGATGCTCTTTGATATGGGTGTGTGTGGCGTTGTTGTTGTGGCAGTTGCAAATTGTCTTTAGGGCTTTAACCCAAAATTGGTTCGAGCGCTTTGGTCCTTGTAAATTTTGTGTCTTCATTTGAATTTCTTCGAGAACTTTTACCAAACTTATTTGCAAACTAAATAAGATTCTGACACAAAGCGACTAAAAGCTGGCAGCACGCACACAAACAACGTTTATCACATGTTGCTGTCGGTTTATTAAGGTTTCTCTAGCGTGAAGACGCTTTGCGATAATCGTTCGCTTGTGGCGTACTTAAGACGGATATGCCTTGGTTGTTGTTGCTGTGCAATTTCAAGTTGTGGTCATTGTTGTGGAAAAATTCCAACCAAACATCGGTATCCAGATTAATGTTGCGTACATATATATATATATATATATATGTGTTTGTATATGTGTGTTATGAATCCAATAAGGACGCTGCACATTTCGTGCTATGTAAATATTTCCTCATTCAATTTCCGCTTAAGTTGACTTGTTTATCTCAGTGCTGTTGTTGTGCGCGTTTCTTCCATAAGCGTGTGAATGCTCACTTGCTCACAACTTCGAATGCAGCTAGCTCAGCATGCAAGCGCACACCTCCGAAATCCCGCATATTTAAGTGAGGCATGTATATATGTATGCATATGTATATCGGTCGTCGATTTGGTGTTTGCAATCGCAAGCGCAATTGTATGCAATCGAGCAATGTTTTGTTGCACTGCAGTGCGTGCGTGGGCGAGTGGCGAATCAATTGCATTCTTTGCACAACAATTCGGAAATTTTCAATATATTTTGTATAAAATTTAAATATAAATTCCTTACTGGCAAATGCTTATTTTAAGGCTCGTTGCTCTCTGTCTTTCTTTGTGTTGCATTTTGGCAGATATTAAAATTCCCAATGCTCTTACAGTCGTTGAGTTTTCTATTGCAATAAAGAATGTAAGAAATTGAGATCAGCGCAGCTTGTGCTGAAACGGAATTATTGACGAGTTTTAGAAGAGTCGGATTTGAGTGGTCAGCAGCTGGTATTTTAGATGATTCTGAATTTAAATATTACACAAGCAATAATAAATGTTTGTATATCATGCAGTAGTTGCTCGCTGAGTCTGAGTTATTGATGAGAATTTGGTACATAAGAATATACCACATATACATAAAACGGGTGTATTTTATAAAAGCGTGACTTTCAATGAGGCATGAATTTTTCGAAGTTGATATTTTTGAAAGCCGTTTCTTGATTTATACTCAGTTTGGTTTTCCATTTTATAATTAACAGACTTACTCTGGAACAACTTTTGGAAATCCTGCCATATACCAAAATAATGGTTCGGTTTGCTCGAAGCATAAAATGAAATCGAACGATCATCAAGCGTGTCACACGTTTACGTTCAGATGTACACCGAACCCGATTCTCACAAGTAAATTTCGTTCAGCGATGAAGCTGGTGGAATAAGTACGTCAATAAACAAAATGGGATCCGCTGGAATATTTTTTGTGGAGGTTACGTGAAATTACTAGCCTACTCAGATAAGTCCAAGACGTTTGACGCTTTGAAATATAATAATCAGGCGGAGAACTTACTTAAAAGAAGGCGAAGACTCTCTGACTGACAGGAAATGTGCACCGTTTGCTGGTACTCACAAGGTGTGACCTACACTGACTACCTTGAGAAAGATCTACCGGTCATATGCCTCTGCTACTAGTTATTGGGCTGTTTCGACGGCGATTTGCAGAAAAAAATGGTCCCCGAAGAAAAAGTGCTATGCCACCAAACCCATTGGCTAACATTTCCGCTGTTGGCATGACCAAATCGCATTTTTTTTCAAAATATTGTTTGTTTAGTAACCTAATTATTACACCACATCCGTATAAGCTATTTATATTCGAAATAATCAGTGCTTTGTGAAGCCAGAAACACGTTTATCGTTATTCGATCTCACTTATCGCTAAAGCGCATTAAATTAAAAAAAAAGGAGGGGGGGATAGCGGAGCTAAGGTGCCTCGAAGAAATTCGGCCAGACCTTCTAGAGTCGGATTGCAGAAAACCTAGAAGTTTGGCTTGTAAAATGAGTGATACATAACACTAAACAATCCTACCTTTCCTAAATACTAACTACTACTCGGATCGGTAATAATAAAATTGAGTAAACTCCACACTAGTTTAGTGCAATTGTTTGCAACATGAAATTTGGTGTTGGAAAATCGAAACAAATTAACAAAAGAACAGCCGCTAAATGTCATATACTACTAATCAGTTTAATCGTAAAGGACTACAAATGAAATTACTTAAGTTTAGATTTACCTACCCAACCACAACATAGCAACAACTAAAAACCACATACCCGTATAACATATGGGTATACAGCAGCAGGCTAAGGACAGTGCCTGCAGCAAAATACCCAACCGACCAAACATGCTGGGGTATTTAAATGATCTTGAAGTATTACAGCAATAAAACGTAAGATTTCATTAATCTTTTTGACTGAAAGAAATTATAATTAATAACGTTGTTTAGGGTATAAGCTCTTTAAATGCCGTCATATGGAAGAAATTTCGTTGAAGAAGGAAACCAGGTACTACCAGTATGCTCAATAATATTGAATAGGTTATATGAGTTATTGTTAACCCAGTCTAAAAGTTATTATAATATTTTTAGTTTTACCCTAAGTAATTCTCGTATTTAATAGTGTTTTATACCTATATAAATTTGGCATATGAAATATAGCTGCTTTTAAGAGGTACGCTAGGGATTCCATTCTGAAAGCTTCGTGTATTTAAACCACATTGTTTTTGTTTTTGACTCCGATTGGATAAGAAGAAAGAATTGGTATGCTCGTCGAACCATTTTTCCTTCTCCATAGCCTTACGGTTATAAAAAAAAAAATTGTGGAACTATAAAACACTACTCTGCCATCACTTTATCTCCATCTAATTAGTAAAACTCTCATGCTTTTTATACGTATACCTAACTCAATATTCTTTACTCCATGCTTGACTGTTCACTGGGTTATTATGTGAAAGTGTGATTTCGGCTACAAACGTTACATTTTGCAAAACTTTTTAAATTAAACAAGCTAGCCAAACCACCTAAGTGAAAGCGTCTGTTACTACAAATTAATGTAGCGGTTTGAACCTTAAGGAGCAACACCACGGACACCTACGTACCAGCAGCAAAAGTAATAAAATTCCAGTTGCCTAAGTCTTGAATACACTTACGGTTATATATACATAAATGTACATACATATGTTTTATTTATGTATGGGTGACTAAAAATATGGTTGTGTGAAAGGAATGTAGCTTTAGGTGTAAGTTTATTCCATTTGGCTTGCAACACTGGCTTGCTGGTAGGCAAATTAAATACTTTCAAAAACCACATAGTACATATTTACGTAGACATATTTTGAGATTTCTATATGGTTATATGTATGTAATATTTACAAAGTTACAACATATCTGAAAAATACTTTGCTATTTATTTGAAAACCTTCTGTGTTGTAAACACTGGACCGACAAGTAATAAAGCCACCACTCGACTGATGAAGTTCGATATCTTTTGTTTTTACCGATGAGTAATTTCAGGAAGCTGAAGACTTTCGACCTAGTCATTTGCTCAAGTTCTCTTTATCTATCATTTGTCTTAATCTTAGATATTTTTAAACCGACGAAGTAGTAAGCAGAACACTACCTAAAAACTATGAGTTCGACTTTTGGCAGTAGCTTTGTACGAACATTTACTACACAATAGTATATCTAGGTTTGGAAAGTGACCGCCGCACACGTCATTTTCTCCCCAAGAAGCTGCTTATTTGTCGGAACCGCCGATATGGGATCACTATAGCATGCAACTGCCATACATAATGAACGATCGAAATCAGGTTCTTGTAAGGAATTTTTTGTATTTGTGAAGGGTGCAACCGAAGTTAACGTTTTTTCTGGTTTTGGTAACAAATTTGCACAATTTTCAAACGTTGTTCCGTGGTAAATCTGTTCATTATAAAATGGCAAACTAAACTGACTATGGTGTCCAAACGAAAAACTCCGAAAAAAATATTGCCTCACTGAAAACCATACGTCTAGAAAAAACACTCTTTAAATTCCATAAATGGCAACTCTACATATGTATATGGCAATGATTTCATGAAAACAAATTCATACTTTGATTCATGATGCAATCATGCTTTTTAATTTCAATTTCAGATAATGTCAGATAACATTTCTTTACGAAAAAAGTCATATTTGTTTTATTACAGAAACATATAACTTTTAGAACAGAAAAATATCTTACATAAATTCACTCACTAAAATCCAACCATGACTCTAGAGCAGAGTTCACCGGAAGTAAAGCAAAAAGAAGAATTAACGCTTCTGCAAAAGGTTTGTCAATTGCAACAAAAAGAAAGAGTTGTTGTAGTTATGTATATATTTTTAAAATTTCAGATTACATTCTTCTTCATTGGCATTTTGTCAGCTTTTACTATTTACGGTTTGATACGCTTCTCTAACGGTCTACTTTTTGAGTCAAAGACGCACGCCATACCACATGACTTCGGGCACTTAAACGAAGACTTGTTACGAATGTAAAATTTTTTTTCGAATTCCAGGTTTATTTTACACGCAAACTTTCCTTAGTAATGCTTGATTTAGAAAGAAACTCAGAACGCGGTAACAGGCGTGATGTAATCTTCCAATTTCTTGTTCGAGCTAATAATTGTGTGAGTCCATTCTAGCTAAGCAATTGAATCCGATAGTTAAAAATTTTAAATATATTCTTATTTTTACAGATTTTTGGATTCGCATTAACGGGCTTAATAGCAGTGAGCCTTATTATAATTGCCTTATGGCTAGTAAGATTTATGGATACTATGTTCGGTGTGAACAGAAGAAAGAATGAATATCCAGAAGCTTTTACTATGGACAATAATCAAATTGAAATCAAATAATTTTGCAAGTATTTAGTTCATTGAAAATATACATATCTAAAGATGTATAATTAATTGGTACTTTCTTAAAATTTGGCATTAAAAATGCTTCGAAATAGTTACATACATACATATTATATATAAAATATTCACAACGCTAATAAAAGAAAAAAATTTATTGAAATAGGTATTAGAGGTTAAATGATTGACTGTTGGAAACGCCTTATTAT